TTTCCTCTAACTCCAGTACAAATAGATAGAAGTGTCTAGCTATTGAGGTGGTGGCATACCTGTACAGGCGTGAATGTTCTTACGAATACTGGACCGTATCATACTCTCGAACTGTAATAACTGAACATAGGTCAGCAATATCACCCTCTCGTCAACAAGTTCATTATAATAACAATAATGTGGGAAACAGTGCTTTATATATATATTTAGCTCCGCATCAAAACATATAAGGATGTGCTCTGTTTGTATTAAGGTTAAGAATAACAGAAAAGCAAAGATTGAAAGTATTTAAGAGAATCAATGACGGTATAAAATATCATCTTTTTACTTATTGTACACACTTGTACAAAGGTTTCTGTTACACAAGATGAAACATATTACCCCATTTATACAAAGATGGGGATCAACTTGCGCCACAATATAGCCAGACAGTTTGGACATAACTCCGAAATATCTGGCTATATCCCCCAATGTATATATATATATTGATCCAGATCAAGGAAGCCGAAACCTATAATACCCGATTACATCGGTGTGCTTCGACTAGAAACTAACGGAGGGAATAACACTAAAGAAGAATGGCGCGGGTTGAGATTGGTTGTTGAATGTGGGAGGTAAGTGTTGTTCTTTTGTTTTGTTCTGTCAAATTATATGATGATCGCATCCTAAATCTTATAAAAAACCTTTCAAATGCATTTTCTCGATTAAATATGAATCACACAGGAATGAAATGATGCACAAACACTATCGTTGAACAATTGACATAAATTATGTTGCGATCGTTGAGCACTGACAGAAGTAACGGCTTAAAAGAATAAACAAGAGGCCCAGGGGGCCTGTATCGCTCACATGGATATCTAAGTAATCATGGCAAAATATTCGCCATATGAGATCCAAGGGAATAGGCCAGACCCCAAGGCCAATTTTTGTAGCATATCTGTATTAGATTTTTTATGCCCAGCAATTTTATGTATGGTTATGAGGTGGGGATCTCAACTGTTTCCAAGCTATGACTTAGAAACTAGGTCCCTAGGGCTGTGGCCAGACCCTGGGGTTAATTCTAATATCATGACTGCGTTCGTCTTTTTATGGCCAATAATTGAATATATAGTTTTGGGGTGGGGATCTTAACCATTTCAGATTGTGGTCCAGGGGTTAAGTCTCTAATAGCCAGAGTGCCCCCTTTTGACTCCGCCCCTCAGCCCCCTGAGGGGTCAGCCCAACCATTTGTACAATCTTGAATCCCCACCACTTACCCTAGTGAAAATATCAGGGGAATTCCAGTGGAATTCACTGGAATACCAGTGAATTCCTATGGAATATTCAATTCCAGTGGAGTCCCACTGGACATTGGCATTTTCAGTTCCTAAAGTTCCACTGGAACATTCATTTCAACAGTTATTCCAATGGAGCTATATATCCATAATTTAGCTCAAGTGTGTTCCTCTGTATTTCTAATAGACGTTTTGACATATGATATATATATATCTAATACAATGTATATGTACCAACATATTCAGTCACAAAATAGTGTTATCACAGATATCAATTTTTTGATATTTTTTGCATGGAAGGATAAAGTAGGAACTGCAATTAATACCGAAGTAAAGAAAAAGAGGACGATAAATTTCCATTCTTGTCGATTCATATCCCTTTGCATTGCCAGGTTTTGGTAATATTGATCGAATTCTGCTAAAGGTTTAAGGATGTAACAACTGGCTTCTGGTCTAATCTATGTACTAGAAAAGGAAAATTATTATTGATAATGGTTGACTGAAAATAAGAAGAAACTAGTTTACATTTGTTTAAAAATGGCTGTAAAATAACGTGTAAACAAATTTTACAAAATTGTAGCAACACAATCAAACCACTTGGGACAGTTTTAACCATGCTCAACCACATTTGGAGGTTTGCTGATGAACACTAAAGCTCTGTTTATATTCAATTTTTCCCTAAGTGCTCAACTGGCACAAGCTTGTTGTTTTTCTGACCATTGATATTGTTTATGTGTGGGCATAGTGTCATCTGAATATACTTTCTCAAGTTTGTTGTTTGTACTTCCCCTTTTGTCCTTTCATTGAACGAAAAATTCTTCCAGGCTTTTTTGAGGCCTACTATTGAAACAAAAATAGTGCTGCAAAACTAATTCTAGCATTTATATTACTTTGATGTCTCACATGTGGTTAGGAACTGATATTGTGAAAGGATGAGTGTCTATAAGGCCCTTTTTTGGGCCCCGGTATATTCGGATTTTCACCTCCCTATTTTGTTTAAAGATGTCCTATTGTATGACATGCTAAGGTAAAACCTTGACCGAAGGTGGGTTTCTTGGGGTACAAAAAGGGGTAGGGTAAATCACAAATATAGTTTGCTGTTTTCAAAATGAGCTTAAATACCAAAATAATACCATTTCTGTTTTTGAAAACATGTATAAGTTAGACAATCATATGTAACAGAATGAAAAATTACAAGAAATTCAATCTTCACTTAAAAACTGTTTACATATAACGAAGGATGAAGACAGGGGGGTTGTTTTAGGTAATTTCCAAATAAAAAGTGTTTTGATTTCTCAATAATTTCCTTTATAATTAATATTTTGACTTGAAATTTACAATTTTAAGTGAATTAAAAGGTGCAGGACACCCTTTATATGGTATAAGTATAATATATCAATTCGTAGTATTGTATAGTAAATGTATCATATAATATTTGCCCAACACCTGTGGCTGACGTGAGTTCCAGTTCCTGATTTGTTCTTTCACCACAACTGCTGTAAAATGATTGACTTAATATACGAAGTTTGATTTGCTGGTAATTTTAAGTCTCCTAGCCTCAGGGAAAGTATCTGCTTCAATCGTTAAAGGTAATCGATTTCATTGTTTTATCAAAAGTTCTGGCTATGCCCAATGTTTACCCGCTGATTGTACATAAAAGGCATTTGGGGATAAGCATGTCATTTGGCATATTTATTAGTTATATCATGATATTTAAATTGTGAAAAGTTCATACTTATCCCACAATGCCTTTTTATTTAAAAACACATTTTCCTGTGATTTGGAGTACAAGGACCAAAGTGCATCTCCTTGCCTAACACCAAATATTTCCTGACTATACTAACAGGCTCTGTAGTGTATATAGTAGTAAGAGGGGCGTTTGACATGCTACACTGACCAAAAGTCAGAAAAGTCGCAAAGCGTGACTAAGTTGTTCGTTCACGTTAATGCTTGCAGTTAACATTTAACCTTTTGTTGATTTCATACGGTGTATTTGTTACATTCAATGCTAGCTGATCCTCCTATTATTTCTCAATTACTTTTCTTCCCATTTCGATTAACTTTAACGATTAAAGCAGATACTTGTCACTTAGAATTACCAGCAAATCAAACTTCATATATCAAACCAAACATTTTACTGTAATTATGGTGACAAATGTCTTTTTTTATCATCTTCGCTAAGTAAGAAAACATTACAGGACCTTGGACTCACTTCAGCCACAGGTACTGAGCAAATATTACATGATACATATAACGTCGATATTAACTATAAACATCTTATATTTATAGCATAAAAAGGGTGTCATGCACCGTTAAATACACTTAAAATTGAGAGATATTTAAAAAAGACAAGTTTGAGATATGTCAACGGGTCTTCACTGACACCAACTCTGCTTAAAATCACATGTGATCAGTTGTGATGAGAGTGAGTTATTGTCTATTGCAGAAATGGTGTACAGGTAAATTGCACAGGTAAATCAACTTCTGATAACTAATCAGATAATCAATAACTGCTAATAATTGCAAAATAATAATTAATATTTAGAGTTCCGATCCCAAGCTGTTAAATGGGT